CTTGAGGTTCCACAACCAATGAGATAGACATCAGAGATCAACAAAAAAGTGATACCGTATACAAATGGATATGATAAATTCACCGGCCAATGGAGGGAGAGTAGCACAAACTTTACCATGACATGAAAAACAATACAAAGCAATCTGATTTGCAACTTAATGTACTCTTTAAAAAAAGTGATTGGTCTAGCAAGTAAAAATATTAGATGGTTGAATCAAAATAATTCCCTTTAAAGTTCTATTTCTGTCAAAGTATCATAATATATTCCCAACATATCATAAGATTCTTGTTCTTGAAAATCCACACTTTTCCAAATCCAGAAAACAGACGGAATTCGAGGATTACTCCTCGGGGCAAATACTTTTATGCATACATTTTCCGGTTGATCTACACCGTACTCTATTCTCATAAGATGATACACACTAGCTATTTTACTCGATTTCAATGAATCCCTCGTTACTGCTCAAACGAGAAATAATAGGTAGGGATGACAAGATTTGAACACGTAATCAACTAGGACTACTGGGTATCTAATCTCATTCACTCCCTTAGCTTTCGCCTCTCAGTGTCGGTGTCGGCCCAACATAGTGTTTTCGCCATTGGTGTTCTTTCCGATCTCTACGCATTTCACCGCTCCACCGGAAATTCCCTCTGCCCCTACCGTACTCTAGCTTGGTAGTTTATTGGACTTGCATCTTGAATCCTATTTTCTTAAATTTAACCCTTAAATTTAACCCTTCTCGCCCGAAAAGCTCCCACTCCTCTTGCAGTTCTCGCTCCTCTCGCTCTCGCCCTCGCAGCTCCCGCTCCTCTCGCTCTCACCATGGATTTCGATCAGATGGGAGGATTTTTTGGCAGCGAATTTTACGGTGTCAGGGATCATAATCGTCAAGTGATCGAAAGGTATTTCGACGTGAATTTCGACGTCGATTTCGAACGGGATGCGAGCTGTCGGTGTTGATGCTATAGTTAATTTGCACGGGATGTTGCCCGCTGGGATTCATCACATCTATTCGCTGAGTACGATAGGAGTCGATGTAGGACTTTTTGTCGTCTCCGAAGATCAAAAGTGTAGATAAAGCTTTCATGAGCACTTATCGGTGCCGGGATTTGAACATCTATCACCACGAAGGTGTTTCTTAATGCCCACGTCCAACAGCTTAACTTGTAACTCTTTACGATTAATCATTTTGTGGTTTCAACTCTGCGTGTGTAAAACCCCTCATATGCAATTGATTGAGTCATCACACCACATCCCTGCACATCGTAGTCGTTAAAAAAAGAGAAGGTATACTGATTCTACCAAAATGGGAAAACCAATGTTTTTGTCACTACCTAAATGATTTCCATACGAAAACAACTAAGAGTTTGGCTTTAATGGTGACATTGAACTTAACCTATGACTCTAGAAAAGAAGTTGGAAGGTTCAAAACTCTTGCCCGCATGTTAATTGCATTAAGCTAATTGCATTAAGCTATAACCAGCGTCAAGGTAGTGGCCTATTAATTTACAGTATCGTGCAACCCGTGGAATTTTTTACAGGAAAACTATTAAACATGAGCCAACAAAAAAGAGTTCATGAAGGTACAAGCAAACTTACTACAAATACAAATCTATATCTATGATAGTTGACTATTGGAGTGCCAAAATAAGCAAGATATTGCAGTTGTCTCTCTATTCAAACCATTTTAACAAAACATAAAAATTACCTCATCAAATTCTTCAAATGACTCGTGGGATAATCATCATCAATCCACAAATTGGGCAAGAACAGGAAATCCTTCCCGAGACAACTGCACAGAAGTTTTCAAACATTTTGCTTACTCTCAATCAACTCGACTTTTGCATTTTCAAAAAGCTTATCATTTAAACTTTTCAAAATATGGTTCTATTGGAGAAAATTTAATTCATACAGTGATTTTAAAATAGATCCAAAGAGCAGTCAACGAGAAGAGTAGGATATTTTTCTTGTTTTGAATCTTACTAACACAGTTCTTGACTCACTAGAAAGCATTTGCGTAATTTTTTCATGCAACATTCAATTGATGCGATTTTTGCATCTATGGAAAACTTATCTTCAAAATTTTCAAAATAAGGTTTATTGAAAATTTAATTGAAATAATAGTTTTGGAAAATAAACCTACAATATACTCAAGGAGAAAAGTGAGGATATTTTTTTGTTTTAAAAAATCTTTTTTTTTGGACAAATTTTTAAAAAATCTTATTAACACGGTTATTGACTCAATAGAAAACACATACAAAATTTTGGTAATTAAAATTAAACATCAAATCTCACAAAAAAGAGTTTGACCCAAATTTTGACTATCCATAAAATTTTCGTGTTACGTTCGATTGACGCAATCTCTGCATCTACGGAAAGCTTATTTTTTAACTTTTCAATTGAACAACCTACACTATGTTTTATATCTACACTTATTATTATTATTATTATTATTATTATTATTATTATTATTATTATTAGTCGTATTAGTATTAGCTCATGGAGACTTGAAGCCCCAAAATGTTATGATCACCGAGAATAGAATATTATCCGCAAAAGTATCAAATATAGGAATCAATAAATGCCTCGATGGATCCTTGGAAAATCCTGTCTCAGGTAAGTGCTCATGACAGGACCTTAATCTGAATTTGTGGAACCTCTGGTGGTGGGTGCCAAAGCCCAAAAAGTGATATGTCTCGTTTTGGTTGTATCTTCTTTTGTGCCACGGGTGGACAACATTCATTTGCTAAAATTTGTGAACGTGACATCAACATGGAGAAAAACACAATGAAACTTTCCTCGGTTGAGCACGTACCGGAAGCTCATGATTTGATAGTGCATATACTAAACTCGGATCTTACATTGAGATGAGAGTGCTGTAATTTTTAATCTGTAGCCTAAATTTCATCAAACTTGGCTTAAATATCTATCCGGCTAGTGAGGCCCTACTTGTTGAGCACCCATGTTCATGTAATTTATTTTTTTGAGCATTTTGGGTCAATAGGTTATTGCTTTTAGTTACTGGAAGGCCAAAAGCCCATCCAATTTTTTTTGGACATTTGACTTTGCGAGAGAATGTTCTTCAGAAAACTGGAAACTACCACCGCCAAGAAATGCAAAAACTGAGCAGGCATGAAATTTCTAAAGGCATGAAATTTGTGAGGCCGTCGTTCATCTCTCTGACACAGGTAGTCACCAAAGCATGGACATGGGTTCCCTTTCCAGTAACGAGCAAGAGACCATCTTAACTTTTTAGCCAAAAAAAAAAAGAGACCATCTTAACTCAGCCTCTCTCAACGAAGACATTGATTGTTAACAATATCTGTTTGATCCTAATAATGTTAATGTCAGTAAACAAGCCATAAGCATAACGCATCCGCTAAAATTTGCAAGGAAAGAAGGGAGGTGGGCGCAGAATCGCTGATGGAAACTAGAGATTGCGGACCCGGTCCAAGAACAGACGATAAAACGAGAAGAGAGTTTAGGTGATGCTACCCCGTCCTTGTTGTTCCTTTCTCTGGTCCAAGCTTGGAAACGACCTTGTTCATTAGATTTGCTTCGGGGCCTATGCATTTGATTGGGCTTGGATAAAGAAAGAGCAAGACCAAAAAAATAAAGAAAAAGATAGGAGAGAAATCTCCAAGTATTTTAGTGCTGAACTAGGAAAAATTATTTTGCAATTGCGGTGGACGCAAGAATTATAATTCTACAAATTTGACGGGTTCTTTTAGATTCGACAAATGTACATGTGTCGCACTTACCTAATGCTTTCTTCCCAACCAAGTCTACCAAAATCGGAAAGGGGCAATGCATTCATTTGAAACTTTGTGTGGATGGCAGTGAAGGAAAATGAGAGAAAATTAATGATAAAAATATTTCCTATGTCACGGTCATACCTGATCCATGGGGCTAACTCTAGTATGATCTACGATAAATTACAGGTGAGGTGGTTGTGCTTTTAAGTGATTTTGGCCAATCTCTTTGACACTGAAAACCTCGAAAAGTTTATTCAAGAAATCGGTTGAACTTGTCGACCCGAAGACATTTTTGGTTGCATCAGCTACATATGAATAATAAACCAGTGCATTTCATTCTTTAAATGATAAGGGACTACATGAAGTACAATTGCCTTGAGCTCGCACACACCCGGATCGCCTAAAACAAATTAAGGTCCATAAATCTACCCACTTCTTCAAACCCGAATCTTTGTTATCTGTTAGATGCTTCAAGAGTATTGTGCCCAATCAACCTAGTCGTATACCCTGTGTTACTCAGCCTCGCAGATTCAATGATAAAGAGATATGGAGCATATCACTCCTGGATCACCTAATGAACCGAATGCAATACCAGTCTTAACATTTCAATTTCCGGTTTAGACTTTGCAAAAGTGACTGCTACCTCTTCAAACGTATACGGTGAAAACAACATGAAAAACAATACATTTTAGAATTTAGTATTAAACCATGACAGAAAAGAACTGCCATTTTTTTTATCCTGGAAGCCCATTTGCTAGTTCATGTTGTCGAATCAATCACACAACTTGGATTGATAACCGAATTCCAAAAAACTTCACTTTGTGTTTCAATGTAAAAGAGCTATCCGATCAAATTATCTACTTTAATTTTTTTCAAACACAAGAATCGAAGATTACGGAAGGGACTAGAAGAATGCTAGCTCAAAACCATACAAACTCAATCTCAGAGCTGTATTATACAATTGAGACTAATAAAGAACTAAAGAGTTCATCCCAAAGCCTTTGATCTGAACTCAAAACACTTGCATGATAGACCGCTCAGAAGAGATCTGACCACAACATTTTCGCAAACTTAATCATAAAAGATATGGTTGCTCATTAAAACAGGCTCTTCTTGGGACTGGAGAAATTCGAACCACCAACTGGAATTTCTTGACATGGACAAGGATCCGGGGGGCTATTACTCTACAAAGAATGCAAACCGTCTAGACCATATGAACAAAAGCTTTAAGTCAACATGAAGATACAAAGCAACCATCTTCCGCTATTAGCAATGCAAAACTGTTTAAAGGCAACTTCCATTGTCAAGTAAAAGGTTCACAAGGATATGAAAAGTAACATTTAAGCTAAGGAAAATACAAAGCTCAACCTCAGTGGATGATTAAACCCCTCATCCTCAATATACCCATCACTGTCTGGACCTTGACTCTGCCCTCCTAGCCTCATCACGAGTTGAAGGGAACAGCTCCACATACCTTGACCCAATGGTCATTTTATCCTTGCTCATAGCTCTCCTGGCCTCGTCTGCAGAGGTAAACTCCACAAATGCCTCTCCAGTTGCTTTGCCATCCGGCCTGCATGCTATGTGTATCCTGTCTTTTACCACCTCATACTCTTTGAAGAATTCAATTATTTCAGGTTTTTTCACAGAGAAGGGAAGTCCGCGCATCTTCAATATTTCAGTGAATTCCATTTGGTCCTTATCATCAAACCTTTTCGATCCAGATGGAGCTGGCGCAGGATTTTCCACGTAGTCGGTATCATAAATTCCTTCATAGTTAACTTCTGCAGCGACAGCATTGTAGTAATCTTGCCTCTTGCACCTAAAAACTTCCACGTAGCGACGTCCCATATTTTGTCGATCTCTCTGGAGGGCAAACTCAACATGCATGTTTCCTGCAAAGACAACGAGAGCCTCCCCCGAGAAGCGTCCATTCTTATTGACCAGCAGCACGTCCACTATGTCAAGTCCAGCAAAGAACTTGTAGATGTCAATGTCTGTGCAGTTGAAGGGTAGTCCCCTCAGACGAACAACTGGAAAGGAAGGGGGCTGAAAGCCACCACCATATCCAAAAGGTTGATATCCAGCTGGACCGCTGCTCACTGCGAAGTAGGGATTCGATTCCATCATTCTTTGTCTCTTTGAGCCGACCTCGTACCCATCTGACACCCCCCCGCCTCCCAACGCCCTTCAATATTTCATACCAACAAAGAATCCCCCACTAAACCCGTTAATATAACCAAACCCAACCCACACCCACATTGCCTATTTCCTATTTTCTTATATTATCCTTTCGGAAATATTTAAACTGACAACTTAAAAAACACATAGCAACCGAATATAGAGTGAAACAGTAAAGTAATAAAGCAAATAATTAACCTTGCCTACTAATGCTCAGGAGCAAACCTCAGCTCTTTAGGAAAAGGCGCAAGAGAAGTAGACTGGATGACATTTGAGAACACTTAAAGGCTACTTTTGCAGCGCAAGAAGATATTTGGCACACACAACATTCAAAAGACAAACGACTATTGGTTAGGGTGTAAGACCATACAGGCACTTGCAAGCTGACCGGACATCCAATCTGAGACATAATGAGAGATGAATGACACAAACCAGGCAACTACTCCCATTAAATATGTTTAGCAGATTCAAGTCTTTGCGTCTGATTACAGACATAGATATGTGATTTCAATCAAGCACAAAGCATCAACAATCATTAATCATGAGGATCAAGTTAAGGGTGTGTTTGTCACCCTGAAAACTTCGTGATAAAGAAAAACGTTACCCATGGAAATCATTTTCAAGAAAACGGTTATTTTTCATTTGTTTGGTAGTTCAGGAAAAACGATTTCCTACTTGCCAAAAAAGGGAAGTCGTTTCCCTCTAATCTAAACTTGTTGTTTTAAGTCCATGGACAATGTTTTCCATAGATCAATAAAGTTTCCATCATCCAAACATCGGAATATCGGAAAACAATTTCCCGGAAGCAGTTTTCCTTCAAACAAACAGACCCTAAGTCACAGAAAATTCTCAAAAACACATTAGCAAAAGTATCCTAACCCGGTGAGGCAGAGAGAGAAAATTCAACCGCAACAAGAAAAGTCACTGGCATATTATCTCGTGCCCGGCTTCTCTTACGGTACAATCTTCCCAAAACCATTTCTAGCGCACACACCAATAACACACTAGTGTCGAACCATCCCTTCGCCTCTCTCGGATCATAATTAGCACGGATCAGTCAAAATCCTTTTTGTTCACGGCTTATGATGTCAATTTTCGCTTCGAACCCTCACAAACGGGAACTCATCAGACCTCAAATCTATGGAAACAGAAAGAAATATCTTCACACTTCAAGACCAAATAAACTCTATGCAGCAAGCGATTGATTCAGCCAAGATCAGCAGCTCATTTCGACATACTACGGCGACCCAATACCAAGAAAAGAGAGAAATCCCAAATTTTAAGCACGCATCTTCCGATAAATCATTAGAAACGATGAAAATCAGGGTTCGATCCGTTCAAAGATAACAGAGAGAACACAGGCAACAAGCAAAAAGCACGCCGATCTCTGCAAGAACTAGACTAGAGTTGGCGACATACCCTCTCGATCCGTACATGTCTGCGATGCTTTGAATCGACGAAAGCTGGTGGGATTCGATCTCGGAGAACGATCGCCGGCTGCTCCTCCCGGTCGAGCCTTTGGTTGCGAATGGTGCGGAGAGACGAACCCTAATTGGTGCGAGAGTTTTCGACGCTGGTGACCAAGACAAAATAACCTCGAGTTCGGAACGATTGAGGAAAAACAATGGGATAATTACGTTGAAAATCCTAAAATTTGTCACGAAAGTGCAATTGAGTTCTAAAATTTTTATAATATGCAATTAAATCCTAAAACTTATTACGAAAATACAATTGAGTCCTAAAACTTTCAAAAAAAGTAAACAAGTTCTAAAACTTATCGAATTGATTCAATTAAATCCTTCAATTAATTGTACTTTTTGAAAGTTTTAGCACTTAATTACACTTTCGTGATAAGTTTTAGGACTTGATTGTACTTTTTGAAAGTTTTAGGACTTTATTGCATTTTCTTGACAAGTTTTAGGAATTGATAGTATTTTTTTAAAAATTTTAGGACTTAATTGCACTTTAATGACGAGTTTTATAATTTCTAGGGCACCTATCCCAAAAACAATTGAGGTGGTGGGCGAAAAAAAGAATTGGTTAATATACATATTTAGGACCAGTGTGTGGAAATAGAGAAAGGTTTTGAATGTTAATTAATTTGAGAAATTTGAGGTTTTGGTTTGACCAGTTTAAGAGGTTTAAATTTAATAATTTAAGGTTTGAAATTTTCGCGGTCATGTCCCGAACTCAATAGAATTTGAGTATAAAAATAACACGTGGTGGCTAGAAATCATCAGAATTGTAGATGCCTACTTTTCCAAGACAGAGAACTCGGACCCTAACTCGGGGTTTCTCTAGAATTTTGAAGACGTCAATTTATCGATAGAAAATCTTCAATCCTCAATTGAACAACAATCGATATTATTTTTCACATCTACACTTATTATATTAATATAAAAAAATTAAAATTAATTTTTAAAAAATAATAATTTTAAAAAAAATATGTTAGTAAAATGGAATAATCAATGTAGTAGATTTTTTCTAAAAGCTATTCATGTTTGGAGCGGCTTGGCTTTGGAGCTGGCTATGAATGTTGTCTTGTCGCTAAGGATTTTAGGCCCACTTCGTTGTGTTAGATTAGAACAAAGAGTATTTAGGGCCAGCAAGCGAAGTTGTGAAAAATCAAACCAGGCATATTTACAACACGAGTAAGTGATCTGATTTTAAAACGATTCGACGGTCTATCATATAACGAAAGTCGCTCAATGTCAAGATCTCCGTAAGGATCGAACCGACATTTTCTTCTTACAGGTTGGGAGTCACAAAGCTCTTTCAATCGTATTTGCCGATCCATGCGCCGATAAGTCATTCGATTTTGCAACCTAATACTGGTTGGCAATTAGAAAAAGTCATATCTCATCCTTGGGTTCTAATCCCCAGTCTAGCCATAGAGATTGGTGTTTGCAATTTAGTCAGAGCATATTACCAACAAAATGCATCAATTTTTCCTAGTGATTAGCCGAATCTCTCTCTTTCTTTTCAAGTCACTACTTCCAAATAACAGGATCGGGCTCTCTTAGATCCTTTCAGGGGTGCATATGGAAGACTTATTGCTATTCAAATAAAAGTCGGCTTATCAAATGTAATGTAAAGTAAAAAATCTCAACTAGCAAAAGCTATTCCAATGCTAGAGGTCATTTAATTGCATTTATTTTTTTATCATCTATAAATAATAAAATCATTTGACATGTTTTTAGTTCATTTGAACTTTTGTGGATATTTCGACCAAAAAAAAAAACTTTCGTGAATTTGTTGCGATTGATGATAGATGTTTATTTAACACCAAGTACGCGGTTTGTCATATATAACTACTTTGTGCAATCATATTTTCTACTCGTAAACTATAATACTCTTGCTTCATTGTCTTCGTTCGAAATCCACCAATAAAAATAATAACTCAATATAATGCAGCGAGCTCAAATCAATTATTTTTTTAACATGGATTTTAACTTGAAAAAAAATAGGGATAAGTGCACTAGAAGTCCTAAAACTTGTTAGGAAAGTACAATTGATTCCTAAAACTTTTAAAAAATACGATCAAGTCCTAAAGCTTGTCACGAAAGTGCAATCAAGTCATAAAACTTTCAAAAAGTGTAATCAAGTCCTAAAACTTATCACGAATGTGCAATCAAGTCCTAAAACTTATTACCAAGGTGCAATCAAGTCCTAAAACTTTCAAAAAGTGCAATCAATGGAAGGACTTGATTGAACTAATTTGATAAGTTTTAGGACTTGCTTGCACTTTTTGAAAGTTTTAGGACTCAATTACACTTTTCTAACAAGTTTTAGGACTTAATTGTACATTATGAAAGTTTTAGGACTCAATTACACTTTCGTGATAAGTTTTAGGACTTAATTGTACATTATGAAAGTTTTAGGACTCAATTGCACCTTCGTGACAAGTTTTAAGATTTTGAATGCACTTATCCCAAAAAAATATGAAGAAGTGCTATGAGCACATGATATATTATCTTTTTCTTTTATAGAATTAAAGACAATAGAAAATGAAGAAGAAAGTTCAATAAAGCAGCACAATCGAGCGAAGTTTATCGAATTCCATATTAAACATATACTTTGATAGTTATATACATCTATCATTTTTTTAAGTATAAAAAATGGGCACATCCCATATAACTCTTTCTTAATGGCGCCACCTTTCAGACAAAATTTTCTTCTGAGTAATCTTGAAGATAGTTTTAATGAATCATAACTATATTTGCCGTGAAAAATAAGAAAATGCACGCTTTCAAACATAAGAGATATGCAGCAATATGGTGCCGGAATTTCCTTTCACTGACCTTAAATTATATTTAACAAAATCGCTATTTCAATTATATAAATCAAAAGGTTTACGAGATAACGGACTATATGTCTTTCGTCGCACTTTATAAAATAACGAGTTACGCAATCATTCTATATTTTTTTTTATTGACCACTCTTTTTTTCTCTCTCAATATTTTGAACCCTACAACGAAAATGTATCCTTTTCATTTCAAAAAGAAATCGAACCCCGTGTAGGTAGGCCCCTCATCGCTTGCGAGAAAATATCAGAGACCGGCATTTACAAATCTACCCTCCATCCCCAAAGTCAATGACCAAGCGATGCTTATCCTATCGATCCACGCTGCCGCTTTCAATCCCCAAAGTTTTTCTTCCTCTGGCACTCCTCCAACCACCCCAACAATTACAAGGGCGAGCTCGTCATTCCACCCCAACCCGGCCCTCGCACGTGCGGTCAAGCCCCAGCGCGCCCACGTGCGCCCCCCACCCCCTCCCCTCGCCCCTGTGCAATTCGGGGGAGGGGCCATCCATCGGCGGATTCGGCGCCTTCCTCATAAGGGGCGGAGCGCGCGCGGGGGGTCGGGGGGGCGGCCCCAGCCAATGGCGCATCGTCACGCGGATCGGTGACGTGGCAGCGGGGCTCCTCCTCCCTTCCCTCCCCCCGCAACCCGTTTTTGAAATCCCGCCCAAACCCCGGACTTCAACTGGATTCGAGTCCCCCCCTCCCCCCGAGCCTCCTCGATCGGGGAAATCCCGGAACTGCCCCGGGGCATTTTCCCACTCTCTCCCACAAAAGATCCCCCCAACCTCCCTCGCACAAGCACACCCAGCATACATCTAACACTCTCTCTCTCCCCCTCTCTCTCTCACACACACACACAAAGCACATCTGGAGCTCTCGCACACGCTCGCTCTCTCATCTCTCTCTCTCTCGCTCTCGCTCGCAGGCCCTAAGCTTACAGGTAACGCGAAACCCTAGCGGCGCTGCCTAGGCCGCCATTCTCGCCGTTCCCGGCCCGATCTCCGGGCGATTCTCACCGGTTTCCAGCCGTTTTCCTCGCAGGTCTCGCCATGAAAGGTGGTAAGGGGAAGGCGGAGACGACTAGAGCCGACGCGAGGTGAGTCCGTCGCTTTCTTCTTGCCGCTTCTGTCGCGTTTTTTAGCTTCTAGATGAGGTCGAATGCCGGAGATGGAGGTTGATCGCGATTTTTGTTTTGGTGTTTTTGTTTCTGGCTATGGCGTAGGTGTCGCTTTCCTCTGCTTTTCGCCTGTTCTTCTTTTGTTTTTGTGTTCCTCCGGTTTGACGCTGCGGCTTGATTGTTTTAGTTTGAAGAGGAAAGGCCCGGGGACGCAGCGCGCCGGGAAGAAGACGGCGAGGAAGGAGAAAGCTGTGAAGGATCCTAACAAGCCGAAGAGGCCTGCTAGTGCATTTTTTATCTTCATGTATGAAATTTCGTGGAACTTGCGATTAGGTGTTTAACGCGATTTCGGTGGTTTTTCTGTTCGATCGAGAATGCGAGATTTACTTTGTCTTTGTTGTTTTTTTCCTGTTCTCTTGTCCAATCTGTTCTTGGATATAGGGAAGATTTCAGGGTGCAGTATAAGCAGAAGCATCCTAACAACAAATCTGTTGCTGCCGTGAGTTGTTTCTCTCGCTTTTATTGAGTGCGGATACGCACTGTTATTGATTTAGTGTACGAGCCATTCTCCGAAGCATTGCTGATTATGGTTGTCAATCTGCAATTTGAATGAACTAGGTCGGTAAAGCTGGCGGGGACAAGTGGAAATCCATGTCGGAAGCTGTGAGTATCTTGTCTTATTAATTGCTTATTGGAAAAGAATTAGTTGTCTTATCTGCTTCCTGAGTGCGTTTTATCTGTATTGACTCTTTTGCTGTTTCCTAAATTTCTAGGATAAAGCTCCTTTTGTAGCAAAGGCAGAGAAAAGGAAGGATGAGTACAACAAGAAGATGCAGGCTTATAACAAACGATCGGTATGGAATGCTGATTTCGAGTTTTTTTTTCTGAACTCGATGTCAGTTTTGTCCTTCTGCAGCTGTAGTAATTTAGGAAACTCTTTTAACTGTTTGCAAATGATAATGATAGGCTGAAGGAACCAATGCTGCTGACGATGAAGAGTCTGACAAGTCAAAATCTGAAGTCAATGATGAGGATGATGAGGATGGAGATGAGAGTGGGGAGGTTAGTGCTAGACACTGTTGATGGTTTAAATAGGAAAGTTGTCATTATAAGTTGTACATATACTGATTTGTCTTTTTGTTTGTTCTGGCAATTTTAGGAGGACGAGGATGATGACTAAGTCACAATTACCCTCGAGGAGTATGTGTAAACTGTTACATCAATGAGCAACGAAAAATTTCTGTCATTTTGGACATGTAGTTGTTTGCCTTAATGGTTTCATATTAGATAATTAGGAGAACGGTGATTGGCTTGAGTACCTTCTGGAGCTTAAATAGTGATGTAGTTAGTTGTTTATGCTGATTTTAGCTGAAGCTTGGTTCTCTGATCTGATATATATAAGCTTCTTTGCTCCCATCTCTCTTTTGTTTCTTTCTATTCGTTGTGATATGTGTTTATACCTCTCTAAACTTGTCAAAAGGTGAGACGTCTTGCCTGTAGTACTTGTCTCCGACGCAGTCATATTGAGGGGTCTTAACATTCTGGTCTGTTATGCATGAGCATGAGGCTTCCTCATTAGGATTCTAGGGTGTGCCAATGCTGTGCATCCTATTCCGTGCATTTCTACACCTGCTTCGGTGACTGAAGCTTGTTGGCTCCAGATCCCATTGGAGCTGGCTTTTCTAGGCCTGCTTATGAAGCTCTTCTCTATGGACGGGAAGTCCTGTTGGTTTCTATCGATGTTATATCATAATGTGCTCACCATTATGCAATGCTATCTTGGATTTGGAGTCTTCTGCGCAATGTGATTTTATTTTCTAAAGTGCACAAATGCTAGCTCTTTATCCCATCCCAAGAGGTAGAAATAAAGACGACTCTTGGTGCTTATGGGATTCATTGGTGTTGGTAGCATTTTGATGTCAATGTGAGCCTGATAATGCCATATCACCATGCTACTAAGCAGATATTTCGTCGGATGTTGCTATATGCAGGTTCTAAACTTGTGTGGTGAAGAAGTTGGATGATTTTTTGTGTGTTTTAAATGTGCTCTGATGGTTTAAATGTGCTTGGATTGATCGATCAATCAATCCTTCATTGTATGTTTTTGAGTGCCAAATGCCATAGCTTGCTTGCTGTAAAAGATAAGTGGAATTTTGTTTTTCTTTCCTATTAATTCTGGTAGTTTCCTTTAAGGGATTCCAGAATCCACCCTTGTGGTCACTCGGTAACATTTTTTTAGTTCGTAGAGATCCCGTTTGTCATATGAGGTGAGGTTGTGGGTAGTGTGCTGACAGTTCCGCATGGGATTATCGGGTAATAAAAGCAAATCCATAATAGGTTCTGGATGCTAAGGAATGGAATCTACTTGTGAGGGATTGTAGGTGTTGCTAGCTTTCCCTAGTGGAATCTCTAGTCTATCATGGGAGTCTACTATTGGGCTCCATTGCATTGTGAGTATTTAGTTTCTGGCTTCTGCTTTTAACGTGGAAGTCAATACTGGACTTAGTCATTTGCATTTCCTCTTGTTAGCTCTTTTGGGGGCCGTTCGTAAAATCTTGTGGTCTGACAGGATTTTGTGATCAATCAGTAGAAGTGGATGTCTAACAAAATTATGTGTTTTTCTCCTATGTAAGATATCCTGCAAATGGTATGAGATGGATTTTGTTGGTAGAGGATGAATCTCTCTGCATTGTCTATTATGGGGGGTTTTGTACATTTATGTCGGGTCGTGTAGAAACCATCAACTCATTCAGGAATGTTTTAGAAGAGCGGGACACGGTTTGCTTATGTCTGTCCATAGGACTAGTTTGAGTCTCATTATGCATGGCTGCATAGATAGGACTAGTATGAGTAGTACATAACATGCTGAGGAATGGACAGTACTTTTCTAATAAAATTTTAGAAGGTTAATGATGAGAGCCCATGATTAATATTGATACGAATTGTAGCTGAAATGGATTTCGTAATTAGGGGTGGAGGCGTTTGACGTCTAGAAGCTGCAAAAGCTGTCCGGGGAGGAGTTTGGTCGCGTGTTTCATTCCTGAATTGCTGTGTTCACGGCCCGGACATCGATGACTACATTTGCCTCTTGGAAGTTATAACTTTGGGATTCCATCCTATGTAGGGGATGAGCTATTGTCAGTTTTCAAGCTTTCGCGTTGGAATTCGATGTGTGAATAGCTTTTTGGATGGGTATCAAATTTTTTCTTGGCTCCAATGTGGGTTTTTTCCACTTTTGTTTCCTTCTCTATGTTAGTAACCCCCGGTAATGGAAAGTGGGAGAGAATGACCTCGTTAACGATGCAAACAAGTAAACGTATGAAATTGATTGCTTTGATACAACTCATCCCGGCATCTGGCAAAAGAGAGGTAGGACAGAATCCATCCGTTTCTTTCCTCGCCATGTATATACAAACCCAAACCCACACAAAAACATAAATATACACGTAGGCGATGCTGCACGTAACAGAATAGTTCGAAAGAATGAATAGACATTCCAAATAATATAATAAATGTCTCACAGACGATCGGAATCTGTGTTCACCAAAAGTCACGTATCACGAGCTTCGCCTGTCATGTTCCGCGGCTCGGAGCACCTCTTTGGCCATCGATGAGAAAGATTTTGCCGTGTCTTGCATCTCCGCAGTTTTTATGTTTATTCCCTGCAAAGAACGAGTAAAATCAGGAACCGAAGTGCTGGCGGAAAAACAAGAAGGAAAAAGGGGACTAAAGCGGTGGGTAAGGTACCTGTAACTTCCTCAAGTTCTCCTGCAGCTTGTTCTCTGCCATTTTGGCAGCGCCTGTTGCATCCTGCACGTTGAACAAAGATCCAACAATGTGATGCTCTTTTGATGACCAAGAGAGACATCAAAGGATCTAAAATCACGGCAAAGAAGCCACACAAGTCCCCAGCCCCATGTGGCCTTACTCAACGGAACGTTCTCCAAAAAGTATGAAATAAATTGGGTCCTAAGATGAAATAAATTTCTTCTTTACCAAGCTTCGGAAGTTCTGTTTCAGTCGGTTTTTATTTATTGCTAAATCCCTTATGCTCCTTTTATTAGGCACTCACAATTTTGTTCTTTCAGGCTGAAAAGAATGATCGCCCTGATGAACCTTACTGTAATATGGAGAAAGCAAGCTCACTGCTACAATCAACGTACTAATCAATAACTTCTAGCCATTGAATTCTTGTCTAATCGATTCCCCTCCCGTCGATGACAAGCTAACTACTTGAATTCCTTCAAAACAAGTAGAAGGCGGTACCTGCAACTATATTGTCAAAGCCAGTTCGTGATTCGACAGGCCAGACTCTCATTTTCCAGTTCGGCAAATGGTATAAACCAATCAGGACAAAAAGGGAAACACAAAGAAACACAGATCTTTGACTTTTGAAGGCATGTAGCAGTAATATACTTACACTAGAAGCAGCAAACCCGTATTTCCTCTTGATCTGATCGACTGCACCAATGTTTTCATCTTTTTGCTCTTCTTTTGTGGATTTCTTCTCGTTCTTGATCTTTACCTGCTTTAGTTTTCCTGTCAACAGAATTTTTAAAAATGGAAAACATCATCCAATGCAAACCTTCTCCTTATCAGGATCTTCTAGTTCTTTTGCGACAATGCAGGAAAATGCCATGCTTCCAATTACTAATCCCTCTATGACATTGTCTGCACATTTGTGTGTTTGTGTGTTGCATATGGTATAGGTTGCATTTTTGGTCCCAAATACACAGAAAATAATCTATGATTCATATGCTCCTGTGAGGAAAAGGCGAAAACAAAAGCTATTTGTAAGAGCAGGTGCTATATCTTTTCCTTTCAGATAAGAAATGAACAAGGGTGGGTGTATCCTGTCATCGACTGCTGGAATGCTTTACAAAGCTCAAGATTATTAGCACAACACAAGATCATCTCCAGAAATGTCAACCATATCGGATGCCGACTTCTTTAGCAATTCCTAGAAAACTGATGATCTTAGCAAACACTCTTAGCACCACTTACCTATATCTGACAAAGGTTCATCGGTCCTTTTTCCAACATTAATCATTCTATTCGTTTCGAGACTTCTTTCCACATTCACTTTAAATTATCTTGTTCTACTGTGTATGCAACTAGAACAAAAACGGATGACTGTCTACGACAATTATAATGTATAGTATATGGCAACTGTGAATATATGGTCAGCACTACTGCTGATACTAGAAAAAGAATACAGACTTCCCCAGGGTGTTCACGTTCCATTTTAACACAGTCAAAAGTTTAATCTTCTCCCGCATCAGTCCACGCAAGACAAGGCAATGGTAGACTGTCAATTTGGATGTGGAGAATTATAGAAGAAAGTAGAACACAGTGTGATTATCTTTACTTTTCCTTTGGTTTTTTTTCCCACAAATGACATTATGTTCAATTTTGGAAAAATGGATCCACATACTGACAAAATATTCACCTATCACCAGCAATTTTTTTTTTTTTAACTTTACCAATACTATTCATGTTGCTTTTAAAGATCCGAATGAAGAATCTAATTCTCTTACAGGAAAATTCGTTTATCTTACTCACCTTTAAGGCTCTGAAATTTGTTTGCCAAGACTTTTTTGTTGAGACCTCCAAACATATTCTGTCCTCGAGGTTTTTCCTCGCTATCATCGATATCAATATCATCTTCACATAGCAATGGAATTTTCAGTCAGTTAAATTCAAAGTTCACTATGAATAGAATAAACAGTAAACACAATTTGTTGGGGCTAAACGTGCACACATGCATGTGAATTTACTGCAAACCCCTGTTCTCAGCCATACCTATGTTCAAGTCATCGTCATCTTCATCCCCGGCCAAATCCTCTCTTTTCTCAATCTCGGTGCCCCTATCATCCATGTCTGCAATTTTACTCTGGAAATTAGCTGTTGAAAAGATAGCAGAGAGTTCTTCAATACTTGCTCTAGGATCTTCTTTATACATATCGGGTGCGTGCTTTTCTCTATTGACTTTTGTGTCTTTAAACACGGAGCTGAATAATCCCTGATTGTGCAAAATAACAGTGTTACTAAGCAGTGGTTAATATACAATCCACTCAACAAAAAACTCCAAACTAATACCACCTTGGGCTTCTCCTTCTGGATGGCACGCACGGGAGGAAAGTTCTCCGCTGAATGAACCAGGTCTTTTTGGTAGACTTGGCTGAGAGACCCCAACAGCCTATGAAGAGGAACAAAAGATGATGCATATTAACATTAACCATTCTACCAAGAGTTACGACAGAAGTACATGTTTACTTATTTCGTTTTTATAGGGTTACAAGAAATTATAATTTCAATTTCTTGTCTAAGCATCATTGAAAACACATCATATTGAGCAGCAGAAGCATGCAATATAGATGAGCATGTGCTGTGCATGAGTGTGGGACTAATACAGT